GACAATGAGCGGACATCTTAGCTTTTTAGTAATTAGAAGAATAGGGTATCACGTCGGTTTGGGGGAGCCAAAATGATTGCATTTTCTGACATTATTTGGCAATTCTGCACCAGCCTCCAGACTCGGGACTTGAATGCCACACGAAATGATTAAAAGACACATAATAAACCCGTACGCACTGCTTCTGTCTTCCCGCCCACCCAACCGCCCAATAAAAATCGCAGCTCTTTTACAAAGACTTTTTGTTGGCGGTGGAGAAAGGAGAATGCACTCAGAAGGAATCGAAGACCCGAGACTGTGCTACACAGAGTCAGAAGGCGGCTCCAAACGGTTGATCACCGCCACCGTCGTCGCTACCGACAATGACGGAGCTGCAGGCGATGGCATGTCGCGTTGTGGTACCGTCAAACTGCGAGAGATGGCTGGGGCACTACCAGGCAACCAACCCATCAAGTAAGTTAGTGCTACTCATTCTGCTTTGCAAAGCCTCCCGTTTCAACATATCGACTAATAACCTGTTCATCTTCAATGTAAGTAGTTTTCGAGACTATTAGTCATTCTTGAGTAAGGGTTTAGTCATCCTAGGTCGACTCAGGTGATGCTCTGTCTCCCACAACGTTATCTCATTCAAAGTGGATTGCAGTTTCTACCTCATCAGCACACCCAGCAGGATTCGATAGCGGCCACGAGGCGGGGTCGAAACTGCAGTTCACTCTGGATGAGATAACCTTTGGGGAGACAAGGCTAAGTGAAATTCATTGGCATCGTGGGGTCTACTTATCTCATTGTGGCAAAGTCAATTATCAGTCTTTAAATCACCTTAAGTAACAAGCCCAGTAATTGAATATATGAAGACCAAGATGTTGTGGTCTCTGGTGTGGTCGCAGTCTCCTTCCGATTGATAGAAGTGGGTTGACCTCGTTGTCGCAACTTGGTCTTGTTCTCAGGGAGACCATATAGAACGCACCTAGTCTGAAGTCGTCTGCCATAGTAGTTGTCGACTACGATGCCGGCGAAACGTCTGAGAATATATCAG